TGGTGGAGCACAAGTGGTCCTTTATTCCGCAAGTGGTGTTTTAAAAAGGATTCGAAGTTGTGAAGTTTGAAGCGGATTCGTGTTAACCAGAGGTGCTACTAGATCATCGCAGGGAAGCAAGATAAGTACCTTCCTCTGATTTTTTTTTAAGTAACCGGGATTGTTTGGATCCTGTGCTGGTTATTCAGCAGTTTTTCTTCTTCGTGTTTGTTTTATGTCTTTATAGATCTAGTCTTGTTATTCTTAAATTGGCTGAGGCTTCCTAACGATAGGACACACTGAGTGTAGGCCTGCCTTTTAAGAAGTACATATTACTATTAGATGTAGAAGTCCTGTTTGTACTGCCGTTCTCTACCTTCTATTGTTACCGTAGGTCCTGTATTATTGTTGTGATTATCGCGTCAGTTATCTGTGCCGTTTATCGCTGTTTGTATAACACTTTAGTTATTTTGTGTGTACGATTATTTTGTGTGCGTTCATTCAAATTATTAAAATTCACACACCATGACTGACCTCGCTCAGTTGTATAAGCTAGGCAAGACGCTTGAAAAAAGTGGCGCTGAGCTAGAGGCATGGGTTGAAGAAAAATATAGAGCTATCACGGCTGATAAAGAGCGGTTGGCCCAAATAGACGCAGACAAGTGTATTAGAATTGAAATGGAACGTGGAAAACTGGAGCTAGAAAAAGAAAAATCAAGACTGGAATTGGCAAAAATAGAAATGGAGAAAGAAATTGAATTAAAACGGTTAGAAGTCAACAAAAAAAGTACGCAAGCAGAGCAGGTTGAAGCACCACCAACAACGACCAATCATTCCAGAAGCATGCTATATAAAATGCCTAAATTTGAGGACAAAAAAAGACGACATAGATGCTTTTATTCGACGGTTCGAAACGATCGCCAAGTCAGAAAACATAGCCGACAATATGATGAGCCAACACCTGCTCACCCTGGTTGGTGGAAGAGGACTCGACGCCTGCCACACCCTGACTGACGAGGAAATAAAAGACTACAAGACATTAAAAAAGACCCTACTAGAATTCTACCACCTGACAGAAGAAACTTACCGACAAAAATTCCACCAACTTCAACCGAACAAAAATGAAGATTTCAAAGTGTTTACTAATGACTTAAAACTTACACTGGAAAAATGGATTGAGGCAGCATCTATTAACAAAACTTATGAAGATCTATTCCAATTCGTCCTGGTCGACAAAATATTAAATTCAGTCCACAGTGATTTATATTCCTTTTTACAGGAAAGAAAACCTAGAGATATAAAGACTGTTACAGAAATGACGCAGAAATTCATAGCGGCCCACCCGACAAATCCAGTATGTAAAAAGTACGACGAGACAGAATTAACTTCAGTATTTATGACCCATGTTGCCGACAGAAGCAGGGGCAGAAGTAAATACAAGAACCATATGCAGTTCAAACCCGACAGACAACAACAGATGCATCAGTCGGACAAACGATGTTTTTATTGCAACGGCCTTGGTCATTATAAAAAAGACTGCAGGAAGGCCAGAAGACCAAACTCGTTTCAACATAACAATCAGTTCCGTGCACACAGTGCGAACGGTCGCTACTACAACATTAACAGCAACAGAACAGAGAATGTTCATTTTATGAGAACAATAGGACACCATAAACTGCCGAGCTTCCAATGTAGGGTTAATGGACAGGTGGTGAACGCAATCAGGTACACAGGCTGCAGCACACTGGCCGTCAAAAGCAGTGTGGTACATCCCAACCAGTATACGGGTAAACATATACCTGTCCAGGGATTTGATGGTAAAATTTCCCTTCACCCTACTGTACGGATAGACGTTCACACACCATATATATCAGGTAGATATGCCGCTGTTGTTTTTAATAAAGGACCATACGACCTGATCATCGGCAATGTGATTGACAATCAGACGCTACCTCAAGGTGACATAGATAAGTGGCTGCAAACAGAAATAGTTCAGTTGGTAGAAACGAGGGCCCAAACTGCTGCTAAAGTTATAGAAGAAAAAGTAAAGCATCAGAACAGGCCGTGAACAACGAGACTAAACAGTCGGTGGTGACAGAGACGACCTGGTCCCCTGAATCATTCCAACAAGAACAGCATAACGATGAATCGCTGAGCAAAATATTTAAACTTGCTCAGAAGAAATCGGTAACCATGTCAAAAAATAAAAAGGAACACTCCTTCTTTGTAAGAGACAACACATTGTTTAGAAAATTCACAGATAATGATAAAACAGTCAATCAGCTGGTTGCTTCACAGAAATACCGCCAGACGATATTACATGACGCTCATGATCTACCACTGACATCAATACACAGGCAGAACACAACATGTCCAGAGTTCACGAGGCATAACATATGTTTGGCCAACAGCTATAATCCAGATTAGCACGCCATCAGCAACAAGAACAGTAGAAGCAGTTGTTTTGTTTTTAGATATGGTCCACACGATCTGATCCTAGGCAACATCAGAGGTGTCAAACAATTTCAAGTTGAGAATGACATGAACCATAAAACACAAGTAAGAAGCGAGCAGACCAACACACAAAGTTCTATCGAACCGGTAAACAGAACGATGTACGATCTACAGAAAAGGAGTGATAATTTGGTGGTAGACATGAACACAGTTACTGAAGAGTTGTCTAAAAAAATCACAGAAATCGGCTCAGTTGTTCTCAGTTTGAGAAAACAGAATGATAAACTTAATGACAGATTGCTCAGATTGGAGAAAAAAGTCAACAATGAAAATGAAGAATATGTCCTAAACAACTCAATTGGTGAGACAGCTTACTACTATTCCTGGTCAGCACTTAATCAGATAATGTCAGGAGCACAAGAAACTACAGAGCCTAAAGAAATGACCTGCACACGAGTACAAGACAGACGACGGACCTGTTCAACCCTAACCTTAACCTAGCGCCCCATGTGCTTTACCCCATGACGGATAGAACTTGGACCACGCACACCCCCTTACGAACGGTTTTGAACAATGACTACACAAGGATTAATAAGTAAAGTAAATTCAAGTTATCGAACAGCTAAATGTACGGTATGAATCTAAGTCGTCGTAAATATCGACGTGAGGCAATTTTTCAATTCTGATGGTGCAGAAGGAAGTCGTTGTCATAATATGGTATAATGAGAGCTGCTCCATTATAGCCATAAAGTGAAGAATATATTAGTTGCTATTGGAGGATGAATAATTATGGCTATGTATAGTCTACAGTCCCAGGCAGAGAGCTGCTCCTGCACTACAGATATGTGACACGCAATACAACACACATGTCTTTTCTTTGTGTGTAGTAGATCTCTTTCTATTTTAATGCTAGTCGTGTGTAGTTAATGATTTAGTAATGTAGTTGATATTTTGTTGATAATTATAATAATGTAGTTACTATTATTATTATGTAGTGTGTCGTGGACAAATAACCAGCATATCAAAATTTGGTGGGTTTTTTCTTTAAAAGAGGAAGGTTATTTGTCCGACGGGCACAAAAACGCTTAGCTGGCATATGTTTAAGACGACATGTCCGCTCATATTTTCTCAGAATATGACGTCATCTTCGTGAATGCTACGCACTGATGCCCAGCTTAAATGCAGCAGTCAAACGACCAGTACATCATGAACGTGAACATATGAAACACATCGTCAAGGACACGTCCGCAGGATCACGTCAAGTAACACATCTAGAGGAACCAAATTAATGTGAGATGGGTCATCCTAACCAGATTACTGAAGCCTTACGCATGGTCGCGGTCAATTTCCGACCAAGTCGTAACGGCAAGAAGGGTCACCATAACCAGCTAACAAAAGCCTTACGCACGGTCGCGGTCAATTTTCGATCAAGTCGTAACGGCAACTTCAGCTTATAAATATTTGTTTTTCAGTCACAGTGTTGCCAAGTTTTGTGTTTATAAAGCTCAAGGGAACATTTAGACGTCAAATATAACAGGGAAAACTGTCTACACAGATGATAAACGTTTGTGGAACTGTCTCTACCGAAGATAAAGATTCATTGAGTGACGTATATTTTGTAAATTTGTCTACACAGATGATAAACTTTTGTGGAACAGTCTTTACCGAAGATAAAGATTCATTGACTGACGTATATTTTGTAAATTTGTCAATACAGATGATAAAGTTCTCTACTGGCAGTTCAAGATGCGGCATGACATTGTTGTCGTTTGTTTTTTGAAAATGTGAATGCTGGAATTGTTGTTATTGAAATGTTAATATAATTCAGTCATTGATGACGCTATGACTATGTATTTATACGATGATTGACTAAGAAGACAGAAAAAAAAACTAATAGTATTAGTTTTTTTTTTAATTGTAGGGGGGAGGAGATGTCATAGCGTAGATATAAAGAATTAGACGACTAGTAGAGGTTACAAAGGACGGTGCGAACTTGACTGTAGACGATTTGGTGCGGGAGTATTGTGCGCATGTTGAATACAATATTTGTGGCGCGGCAGTAACGTGAGTTGGGGGTTAGTAATTGTAGGAGACGGATGTATTCTTTGATATTGTGCAAATAAGTGTGTATTAATAAAGTTAGTGTTCTTTTCATCAACGAAGTGGTTGACTTTTGTTAATTAGTGTCTGCGGAACATAAGAGTGATTCCCGTCCTACTCACAAGTATAATAGTTGTCGTATGAATAGTAGCAGATCAGAATATAGAAAAGATTTAGAGAAGATATAATTATATAATATATATGAAACCCCCCATCACATAGACCATTGTTGACTTGTAGAGTATTGTCCGTTATAGATTATGTAAAAGACTACCAGAACGAAAACTATAATACTTCACGATAAATCATTCATGTTAGACATACATTTGCATTATTTATTGAGCTCTTTTTGTATGCAGTGTTCTTCGTGTAACAAATATTATATTTTTACAAATCAAAAGTAAAATATTTTATATTTTCAGTTTTTCAAAATCGTTATTTTTTTTCTTTTGATTTGTAGATTCACAATGGGAAACTCGCAAACTAGCAGACGCAAATTTCTTCTAATGGGGAAGACGGGCGCGGGTAAAAGCTCTACAGCAAACACCTTGCTTCAAAAAGAAGTCTTCAAACAAAGCACAAATGCGACTGCGTGTACTAAAACAGTGGAGCTACATGGCTTGCAATATAAAGAAATGTATTTTGATGTTGTTGATACTCCAGGATTAATGGACACAGAACTTGATGAAATAGATAACACTAAATTCACTCGAGGCAATATGATTGAGGCTATGAAAATATGTGAAGGAGGTTTCAATGCTTTGTTACTTATTGTGAGTTTCTTACATGGCTTTACTGCCGAAGATAAAATGACGGTAAAAGTCCTTAAAGAAATATTTGGGCGTAGTATTTTAAAAAACAATTGCATCGTCGTGATGACACACGCCGATCTTTTTCACACACACGTAGGGGCTAATATTGATTTAAAAAACGCAGTATTGTGCTTTTGCTGATTTGTTCAGAGAATGTAATTACCGTGTTGTTTTATGCAACAACAGGGGTACAACTAGGCAGAAGCAAGAAACAATAGAAACAATTCTAATTCTGCAACGTCAACTCTATATGTATACATCAAGTGAATTTGGAAAGTTCTCTCTAGTTCGACAAAGAGATCGGATTTTGTTAGACTTTTTTCTTGACGCGCTTAAGATAAAACTGAGGCACAGGATATCAATATTACAGGGGGACTTAAATCTGATGAAAGATTCGGCTAAAGTCTTGAAAGATGATACTGAAAAAGTCATTTCTGCATTTGGAATTTTAACTCATAATAATAACCTGAATTTAACTAACCTACCAGTGAACGGAAATTCAACCGATTCAGAAATAAACCCAACAGCAAATTTCTTACAACTTACTGAAAAAGTAACCTCGACATTTAAAAAATATTTGGAAAAAGAGCCAAAATGTTCGAAACAATCTGAGCAATACATGGAGATGAATCAAATCCTCAACAGTCCTTTACAGAACAGCCTGAGAATACTTGGGATCCACATGGAGAAGCTGAAATCCCCGGCAAACGTCATTGAAGACATGAACTTCCAAATCCATTACTGGATCTCAGTGATAGCTGAAGAAGCGCACGGCACCAGATTATTAGATGATGTCATGACCGAGGCGGAAGATCTTAAGAAAGAGATAGAACAATTTCAAGTAAATCGAGCCCTACATTTCTTCGCCTAATGAGTTGTAGAGATGCTTCAGATAGTTGTGCTCCTATACAGAGAAAGGATTCAAGGTGTGCATCCAAAGTACACTCATAACAACAATTAATTGACAATTGCTTTAGTGAAAATCCAAACGACATAGAACTACATACTATATTTTTATTCTTTATTTAAATAAAACATTCGAACAAAGTAAAACGTGACAAAAAATATTTAAAAATTACTAGGCTTAAGACAGAACCTAGAGAACTTGAAAACATTTTGATCCCGCAAGGTTGTGCATTTGCTTAGAATAATATCATTTTACATAACTTTAGATCTATAACTAGAGTTACGTTTGCTTATCACTGCAACTGATTTTTCTTTCGGTATTGTTTTATAGATGCACTAGAAGACGACATTGTGTCTAGAAGCTATAATGTTTCTGGTCTATGATCGTGGATTTAGAACATTAATTGGGACGGGTTTTTTTTAATATGCTTTTAATGACATTTTGTTTACGTCGAATTAATACGGGCATTGGGTTAGTTATATCATTTTTACAATAATTTATATAATTTATGGAGTAATGAAAACCAATCTGCATTTAAAAACTTCTTTTTTTTCCTATTATTTGTTTAATTTTTACCTGTTCATATTATTAAAATATTGTCTCGAAGATGTTTGTTTTGTAATTGATTTTATAATTATATATATATATATATATATATATATATATATATTCAATCACTTAATACTTGATCTGGTTGGAAACTACTGTGCAAAAAGAGATGTAAATCTGGGTCTTGGCCTAAATTCAAGCATAAACAAGAAAGCAAATCGTTATTTTTAAATATCTTTCAATAAATTACGATGACTAAGAGGCCTAAATTAAAACAAAAATTGCTTTAATGGGGTGTCTATTGAAACATCATTTTATGCCTTACATAGTTTTTAAAAAACATCGTCATCCTAACAGAAATTAATTAGTAAAGTGGGGTAAAAATGCCTTTAAATCGCATTTTTTCTAGATGGGTTACTAATGATCGATGAATTTCAGGATCAACTCCCAAATTTTATTGTGTTATTATAGTAGGCCTAGAACACATTTAACAAGCCCGAAATATTTGTCATATATGTAATACAATCACCCTTTGAATAAATATAGTCCTACAATAATACTTAGGAAAATAAACCGGGAATGATCTCCCCTAAACTTTCTCGAATATTCTAATATAACACTACAGGGGATGGCAACTCGGGATATAGACTTCTAGACATGATTTTTAATCCATTTTAAATACTCACATTTCTTAAAATCTATCTATCTATATACTACTAAAAGTCAAGTTTGTTTACATGTTTGAATATTTATTTGTTTGTTTGCCTGATTGACTATTGTGATATGTTCGACTCTATCTGGAAAGCTGTAAAATAGTATGCAGGTAGAGAATAATTTTTTAATGCAGACAGACTGTTGATCACAAATTTATTTAAAGACGTTAATTAATTTATTGATTTATTCATAGTTAAATTAACCGTATTTTTTAAAAAATGTTAATACTTTGAATAAACTTTGTGGGGATAGTGACGTCCCTTGATGTGTTAACTTTTTGGTACGATAAAAATGGCGGACTCCATCATAGACTTTGTGGCCCATTCAAAAGTTTAACGCGTTACAAAGCTAATTTTCTGCCGGCTATAACTTAAACAATACGTCCGTTTGCTGTATTTATTACGTTCCAACACTTATATCAATTTTCAACTGTCTTTTTCATTTAGTTTTACGATAAATTTCTCTAGATCTAAAGATCAGCTATCGAAGGAAATTTATGAATCTAGCCTAGATCTAGATCTAGATCTAGCCTAGATGTAGGTCACTAGATTCAATGTAAATTCTAGATCTAGACTTAATCTAGAATCTATTTCAGGCCTTAATTATTTTATATAAATCTTTGTTTGGCTTATTTAAGATAAAATTTAATTTGAAAGTTAGTACTACTAGACTTATTTTTAGATCTAGATCTAGAATCTATACGCGTAAATCAAGTTGCATAAGGAGACACATAGTATAGTATAAAAATTCACTTGTGACGTCACGAGTAAATAGCTAAAATGGTAGCGTAGTCAGCTCTCATGCAGGAGGCACGGGTTCTAGACCAATGTGTCAATGAAATTTTTTTTTTCAATTTTTTTTTTTTTTAGATGTGAATGATAACGTTGCCTATCTGAACTTGGCAAGATACAGGGCAGGTGAAGTAGAGTTCATCTGTTTCTTTGTCCTAAGCATATGAAAGGATAGTGTGGTCAGATACATGCTCGGCTGGAATTGTTTTTTAAACGATAAAAACATGTTGTCTGAGACTTGGCAGGACACTGGGTAGGTGAAGTAGAGTTGAGTAGGTCACCTGTGACGTCAGTTTATGAAGGGATAGTCCGAAATCGGTGTTTTCGGTGTTTTTAAAAGATAAAAAACATATATTTGAATGTGGGGTCTGTTTTTTGTGACGATAAGTGACACTGCAGTAGCGTACCGAGGAGGGGGGGGGGGGACGGTAGGGGAGGGGAGGCGGGGGGTGGGGAGGGGAGGCGGGGGGGGGGGGGGAAGGGGAGGCGGGGGGTGGGGAGGTGGAGGGGGGAAGGGGGGGGGGCGGGGGGGGACATATGTTGGGGCGCCAAAATGGTTTGGAAAAATAAATTGATAGGTTGAGGGGGTTCAAATCGAAAGTTTGAGTGGGGGGGGGGGGGTGCACATCAAAAGTTTGAGGGGGGGGGGGGGGTTCAAATCGAAAACTTTGTCCCCGGGCGCCGGGAAGGGTCGCTATGCCTCTGAGTGACAGACGTGATGTTTTTTGATGGATGACCCCCGAAACCCACAGTTATCCAACGGATGACGGGTATTCTAGTATACTACTAAAACTCAACTTTGTTTACATGTTTGAATATTTATTTGTTTGTTTTTTTGTTTGTTTTTTTGTTTGCCTGATCGACTATCTCGCATAGTTGCACTCATCGTGGAGAGCTGTAAAATAGTATGTAGGTAGAGAACAATTTTTGTTTTAAGACAGACTGTTAATCACACATTTATTTAAAGACGTTAATTAATTTATTGATTTATTCATAGTTAAATTAACCGTATTTTTTTAAAAATGTTAATACTTTGAATAATTTTTGTGGGGATAGTGACGTCCCTTGATGTGTTTACTTTTTTGGTACAGTAAAAATGGCGGACTCCATCATAAACTTTGTGACCCATTCAAAAGTTTAACGCGTTACAAAGCTAATTTTCTGCCGGCTATAACTTAAACAATACGTCCGTTTGCTGTATTTATTACGTTCCAACACTTATATCAATTTTCAACTGTCTTTTTCATTTAGTTTTACGATAAATTTCTCTAGATCTAAAGATCAGCTTTCGAAGGAAAGTTATGAATCTAGCCTAGATCTAGCCTAGATCTAGATTCTAGGTCACTACTAGACTCAGTGTAAATTCTAGATCTAGACTTAATGTAAATTCTACATCTAGAATCTATTTCAGGCCTTAATACATCTAGAATCTATTTCAGGCCTTAATTATTTTATATAAATCTTTGTTTGGCTAATTTAAGATTAAATTTAATTTGAAAGTTACTACTACTAGATCTATGCGCGGAGACTCAAAAGTATAGTATAAAAATTCATTTGTGACGTCCCGAGTAAATAGCTAAGTTGGTAGCGTAGCCCGCTCTCATGTGGGTGGCACAGGTTCTAGACCAATATGTCAATGATATTTTTTTTTCAATATTTTTTTTTTAGATGTGAATGATAAAGTTGCCTATCTGAACTTGGCAGGATACAGGGCAGGTGAAGTAGAGTTCATCTGTTTCTTTTTCCTAAGCATATGAAAGGATAGTGTGGTCAGAGACATGCTCGGCTGGAATCGTTTTTTAAACGATAAAAACATGTTGTCTGAGACTTGGCGGGACACTGGGCAGGTGAAGTAGAGTTGAGTAGGTCACATGTGACGTCAGTATATGAAGGGATGGTCCGAAATCGGTGTTTTCGGTGTTTTTAAAAGATAAGAAACATATTTTTGAATGTGGGGTCTGTTTTTTGTGACCATAAGTGACACTGCAGTAGCGTAGCGAGGAGGGGGGGGGGGGCGAGAGGGGAGGCGGGGGGGGGGGAGGCGGGGAGGGGGGGGGGAAGGGGAGGCGGGGGGAGGTGGAGGGGGGAAGGGGGGGCGGGGGGGACATATGTTGGGGCGCCAAAATGGTTTGGAAAAATAAATTGAAAGGTTGAGGGGGGTGCAAATCGAAAGTTTGAGTGGGGGGGGGTGCACATCAAAAGTTTGAGGGGGGGGGGGTTGAAAATCGAAATCTTGGGGGGGGGGTTAAAATCGAAAAGTTTGTCCCCGGGCGCCGGGAAGGGTCGCTATGCCTCTGAGTGACAGACGTGATGTTTTTTATGGATGACCCCCGAAACCCACAGTTATCCAACGGATGACGGGTATTCTAGTATACTACTAAAACTCAACTTTGTTTACATGTTTGAATATTTATTTGTTTGCCTGATCGAAAATTGTGATATGTTCGACTCTATCTGGAAAGCTGTAAAATGGTATGCAGGTAGAGAATAATTTTTTAATGCAGACAGACTGTTGATCACAAATTTATTTAAAGACGTTAATTAATTTATTGATTTATTCCTACGCAGAATAACCCATTTTTTTTTAAAATGTTAAAACCTTGACTAAACTTTGTGGGAATAGTGACGTCACAGGTTTTTGTTTACTCTTTAGTACAATAAAATGGCGGCGTCTATTGAAGAAAATTGTGTTCCCATTCAAAAGTTTAACGCGTTCTAAATCTAATTTTCTGTCGGTCATAACTTTAACAATACGTCCGTTTGCTGTATTTATTACGTTCCAACACTTATATCAATTTTCAACTGTCTTTTTCATTTAGTTTTACGATAAATTTCTCTAGATCTAAAGATCAGCTATCGAAGGAAATTTATGAATCTAGCCTAGATATCTAGATCTAGATCTAGCCTAGATGTAGGTCACTAGATTCAATGTAAATTCTACATCTAGAATCTATTTCAGGCCTTAATTATTTTATATAAATCTTTGTTTGGCTTATTTAAGATAAAATTTAATTTGAAAGTTAGTACTACTAGACTTATTTTTAGATCTAGATCTAGAATCTATACGCGTAAATCAAGTTGCATAAGGAGACACATAGTATAGTATAAAAATTCACTTGTGACGTCACGAGTAAATAGCTAAAATGGTAGCGTAGTCAGCTCTCATGCAGGAGGCACGGGTTCTAGACCAATATGTCAATGAAATTTTTTTTTTCAATTTTTTTTTTAGATGTGAATGATAACGTTGCCTATCTGAACTTGGCAAGATACAGGTGAAGTAGAGTTCATCTGTTTCTTTGTCCTAAGCATATGAAAGGATAGTGTGGTCAGATACATGCTCGGCTGGAATTGTTTTTTAAACGATAAAAACATGTTGTCTGAGACTTGGCAGGACACTGGGCAGGTGAAGTAGAGTTGAGTAGGTCACATGTGACGTCAGTTTATGAAGGGATAGTCCGAAATCGGTGTTTTCGGTGTTTTTAAAAGATAAAAAACATATATTTGAATGTGGGGTCTGTTTTTTGTGACGATAAGTGACACTGCAGTAGCGTACCGAGGAGGGGGGGGGGGACGGTAGGGGAGGGGAGGCGGGGGGTGGGGAGGGGAGGCGGGGGGTGGGGAGGGGAGGCGGGGGGGAAGGGGGGGTGGGGAGGTGGAGGGGGGAAGGGGGGGGACATATGTTGGGGCGCCAAAATGGTTTGGAAAAATAAATTGATAGGTTGAGGGGGGGTTCAAATCGAAAGTTTGAGTGGGGGGGGGGGTGCACATCAAAAGTTTGAGGGGGGGGGGGTTCAAATCGAAAACTTTGTCCCCGGGCGCCGGGAAGGGTCGCTATGCCTCTGAGTGATAGACGTGATGTTTTTTGATGGATGACCCCCGAAACCCACAGTTATCCAACGGATGACGGGTATTCTAGTAGAATATAATCTCGTAGAAAAAAGAAATGCACACCAAGTGAACGCTAAATAAAAAAAGCGCATAATAGTGCGCAATATTATTAGTACTTTATAAATTTACATGCGTTTTTTGAGAAATCGGAAATAGCGTAAATAAGTACTTCCGGTCAACGGAAATTACTCAAAATTTGATAGAAGGTAGAGAATTAGCTCTTTTACTTACATATCAAATTTCATTTATCTATCTGAAATAGTACTCAAGTTATAGGCTTTTGAAAAATTCAAAGTAGAAAAAGTACCACCTCCGGTTATCGGAATTCGCTCAAAAGTTGATACGGATCTACGATTTTGATAAAATACTTATATATGAAATTTCACCAGCCTAGCTGTAACGGTACTCAAGTTATCGTGTTTACACACGGACACACAGACACACAGACACACAGACACACACACACACAGACATACGGACAAGATTGCAAAATTATGTTTTTCCGTATCAGTGAGGTGTAAAACGTCGAGATTTGTAGAAATCTCGATTTTTTTGTTTGCACGATTACAATACTTTCTCTATACTACGTATATACGAGAAAGTAAAAAACAGTCATAATTAGCCTACAACTCATTGTGTTCAGATAACTAATGATTGGTAAATCATCAAGTCCCGATTTCAATCTCCTGGGCAGACGAAGCTTGATAGCTGGTGACATCAACCCTTCTAGGAGAGATCTAGTGTCTGCCTTGTAGTTTCTTTCAGGCATCTCTTCCCCCCGAAATGTTTTTACCGTCCCCCGAACGAAATGAAATTTATATAACTTATATAGAAAATATATACTTTTAACAGTGTCCGCCCCCCCCCCCGAAGAAAGTCTACCGCCCACCCCCCGAAAATTTCAAGTGCCCCCCCGGAGAAAAAAATCTGGAAGAAACACTGGTCAGGAACATATTTAAGTAGAATCGTCTCAGTGTTGAGCAACCAATTAAATTCTACATTTGTATCTGATTCGGTCCAGGGTCATCAACAGTGATGCTTTGAGTCTTTTTTGTTTTAAATTATTATTATAACATTCAGACAATTCATGTATCTAATTCAAATAATCCATAAATTATATCAAAGACAGACCTCTTATTGGAAGAAAAATAATTAACAATTATTTATTATAAAATGCGAAATAGTAAAAGAAGCTTTTTAATTCCCATGACTCATAGTAAACATGGTAGCCTCCATGGTTGTTGTAAGATCTGTGTTTAGACGTCTAGTTCATTCCAGATTATTTTATTAAAGGGTAATTTAAAGATTTGTCTTATAGAAAAATAAATTGAACAAATGTGAACTAAAATCTAAATAAATTTCCCGGTGTTCGCGTTTTACAGTAAATTATTGTCGTAGTGAGATTGGAAGGTTAATAAATATTAAATTATTATAAATAATAATACCAGTAATAGTTAATAAAAAAAAAATTGGTAATCTATCGTTTTGGGTAGGCCTACGTAAAATCGCCCGCGACTAGTAATGTGAAAAACAGGTGACCCCTTAAATTTTAATAATTATTTCACATTTTGAGGAGGATTTATGTTTTGAAAAATACAAAAATGTTTCCTTCTTTCATTTATGTACCTGTTTTTAAACAATTGAATTAAAACTTTTCAGTAATAAATGAAGACTAGCGATGTTTTCAACAGATGCAACCATGCTCATTTACTATAGCAGCCATCTTGTTTAAGTTTTTTTTTATAGCGGATATAGCGCGAGACAGGCGGAAGTCACTCTATTTTACAAATGGCTGCTGTTTATATAGCAAACACTGCTGTTTAAAGTTAATTTCTGGCATATATTGATATATTTAGCCATTGATTTAGGTTTATTATTCATTTATCTATAATATTTGACACAAATATATCACAATATACTTCTACTAAAGCCTTGACAATGAGGTAACTTTTTCGTACATTAATAGCCGCGGGCGATTTTACGTACCCAAAACGATAGATTACCAAAAAATTAAAAAAAAAATCTGTTGTAGTTGTAGTTGTAGATCTAGAATTCTAGTAGAATCTAGATTCTAGACTAGATCTAGATCTAGAATCTAGGGTAAAATCACGATATAGCGAGTCGGAAATTTTTGGGTAATGTTCGTTGAGTTTCGGTAACATTCGTTATTGTAATGTAAACCATAGTTTATTTGACCGTTGAAAGAAAAATAAAGTATTAAAGTCAAGTGCATTAAATTAATGTTTTAACTTAATTTATTTAATGTTTAACTGACAAAAAATTAGCAACAATTAGTAAATCTAATTAGTAAATATTATTAATAAAGTCGAGTGTAGTAATTAGGCCTAATGTTTTTTTTTAAGAAACAGAAAAAACCTGCAGAAGATTTGCGACAACCAACTCTAGTGTAGTTCTGTTAGTAAATAAGACAATTAGATTTACTAAAGTTAAAAGTAGTAAGAATAACTAGAATAATGTTTAGTATTGTTTAGTAGCAGCAATAATTAGCACATACACTTAAAATAATTAGAAATAGAAAATAATTAGCAAAACAGTATTTAAATTGCAACTAAAACCAATCCTTGCACATTTTTCAACATTATGTATTAAAAATAATATGGCGGCAAATAAATGATGGTTTACAGTATTTCCGGTGGGTTCCGGAACGGCTCGACAGACTATGCCATGGTTTTACTGTTTTTTACTGCTGTACAGTTCCGGAATAATAACTGACGCTATATCGTGATTTTACCGAATCTAGATAGATCTAGATCTAGTCCTGTTGTCAGTTGTAGTGTTGTTCTTTCGGCCGTTTCGGGTAAGGGGAAAATTTGAGACGCGAAAAGACAAGGCGGTAAAATGCGAGACATACCTGCGAAATTACTTTTCACCCACAATTTGGAAGGCATAGATCTAGACCAGGGGTTCCCAACCTTTTTTTTCTCTAGAGCACATTCTGAAATATCGGTAGGGTGGCGGGCACCATCTATTTTAAATCGACAAACCAGAAGCGTAGCGACCCTCATACCCTCGATTTGCACCCCCCCCCCCCTCATACCCTCGATTTGCACCCCCCCTTCAAACTTTTGATTTCCATCCCCTCCAACCTTTCAATAATGTTTATGAAAAAAATTCTGTCTCTGTCGAATAGTGAGAGGCGGGCGCATACGTATCGTTCGGCGGGCACGTGGTTGGGAACCCCTGATCTAGACTCTATATTGAGTATATTCTATGATTCTATGGGGTCTTGAATTTTTTCAAAATTTAGATGCTCGTAAATAATACAACATACAAGGGATGATATTTTAATTTTTAGAATCGACCCTTTGAATCCCGGACAGATCCCCCCCCCGCGTGGCCTCAACAAACCTCAAGGCGTTAACCCTGTCTAGTGCCAACCCTAGGCCGCCTAGACCTAACATACAGTAACTAAACCATATAGATCTAGATAGTGATTATAGAATGTAGAATCTATGCCATGCCTAACCCAAAGGTGGTAGGCCTCTATCAGGCGGCTTTAAACAAGGTGGTGTCAGGGTTCGTGCGGCCTCCCGAAATTCCAGGAGGTCCTGGAAAACTCCTGGAATCTTAAAAAACGTAAAAATCTCCTGGAATTTTTAAATTTTTCCTGAAATCTCATGAAATTTTATTAACCCGCGGCGCAAAACCCGACCGAAATTATTTGATTTTGTGCCGCCAATAATTGAATAGTAGTTTTTAAATGGGACGAAAATAAAAATAAACGCATCGGCCGTCGTCCGACTGAATTGCACTGTCGTGATCTACACATCGTGTGGCACAGCCGAGTGTGTGGTCACGTGACGCTAGGCGATTGACCCGAATGGATGATACTATAAACAATTTCTAAAGATAGATAGGCCTACATGTGTTCCCGTGTTTGACTTGTCGGCTTTTGGATTTTTAAAGTAGACAGGCATGTTTCATAACTTTGTCTTAAACTATTGAAACAGCAAAAACAAGTTGTAGTAGTATTTGCGGCTCAGGACTAATCGTCAAAATTAATCTTCTTTAGAAAACCCGGAAAGCTGCGACCCGATCAAACAATGCTGATTCGCGTAACGTTTCATTATTTTATTTTATACATTAATTTTTCGTAAAAATTGCTATAGAAAATAAACTAAATTTTTCCCGTGGCTTTTTTTTCCGGTTGACTAAAAATTGTTAATACGCTTGATTCTAGCTTGCCAAATCGACCAAAACGGGCTGGGGTGGGTGGGGGAAGACACTGACCATCCTACACGGTATGTAACACCCAACGTAACATCATTAGCTCAACCCGCCCCCACTACTCCGTGACGCGACAAGCCGACGATCGTCGCCTTTGATGTTGTGTAACACTCGTACGGTGGTTTCATACCCCACCTCCCTTTCCCCTTCACTTTGTGGAGTTGATGTTACTAATCCTTGGGCATAGATGAAGAAATCTTGCCAGACTTTTGTCTCTGAAATTACATAATATTCGTCTCACATGTTCATCGGGTTGACCGACTAGCCTAGCATCAATGGATTTGGCATCCAAAAATCAATAAAAATCAATAAAATATCACGGAATGATATTAATTGGTGAAGTCTGCTTGCATTTATACCTCTTTTATATTGAAAAACTCTTTAAAATTTGGTCCATACCCTCCCAGTATTTATCCTCTTTCAGGGTCTATCCAGGTTCTTTAAAAAAACTGCTGTTTTTTTAATGACAAAAAAAATCATAACTTTTTTGTTTATGGTCAGATTTTGAAAATTCAAACTGGTCTGTAGTCAGATTGATATCCTCTAACCTAATATATAACTAATATATGTTTTACTTTTACTGAAATTAAATTTTTGCATTGGCTTAGCTAATTAAATGTATTATTAAGTAAGCTTTTTTTTTAAAAATGTACAAATTGGGTTTCTTTTTTGTTTTTAAAATCTCCTTGAATTTTTTTAAACTCCTGGAAAAGTCCTGGAAAACTCCTGGAATTTTATTTGTACTTTTGAGCATGAACCCTGTGGTGTTCAAAAAACCACAATAGAAAGTTGTTGAATCAAAATCAGAACTTAAAAATTAAAATTATTTAAATACAAACTAAAAAGTGTTTGGGTGTGGTAAAATTTTCCCAACATTTTGCAGTTTCTCAAGACCCTTACTTTTCACTGCTGTTAGGTTGGTAATTGAATTCAGTCTTCAATGTTCAATTTATTATTCACTACCGACTGGGCTGCCTGTAGAACAACTACTTAACTTAGAGCAGCAGAGGATCGAGATAGTTTGAGGTCGTCCATAAATGACGTCTCACTTGTAAGGGGGACGGGGGGGGGGGTCTGTAATTTTGTGACGGTGTGTGATGAGGGTGAGGGTGGTTCAAATGGTGTCACGTCACAGTCATACCTTTGCATTATAAAAAAGCGATGTTAGAAAATGAGATTTAGACATTGTTTCACATTTTTAATTTTAGAAAACAGTTTTAATAAATTGCAATAGGAATTGATTAAAAAACGCTATGAGATGACAAAGTTCAGACAAGACTTTTGAAAAATATTGATTTTTAAGAAAAATTGAAGGGGGTTGTAGGCTGAGGTGTGATGTCATTTTAGGGGGTGGGGTGGCTTTTTGTGACGATATGTGACAGAGGGGAGGGTGGAGATACAAAATGTAAAAAAAAAAGCATTTTGGCATTTATGGATTACCCCATAGTTAAGTTAAGATGGCTGAAAATAATGAGAAAATCAACTGAGGTAGTTCAGGTTCTCAAACAGCCCAGGTTTTAATTGTTAAGTTATGAATGTTGTAATGTAGTGTTAAGGGATGATTGATTAATTTAACAATAAAATTATTATCTTGGCCTATAGTCTAGTATAGTGTTTAAGTATAGTCTTACTAGCAGGTCTCACTACATTTTAAATTAAATTATTTCTTAATTTACCTATTCCAATGTAAAATAGTTCTATATTAATATTATTAATTTATTTAAATAGGTACTAAAATAATTCAGCTTTAAAAACAATCAATATCTAAATCTGCCAAATAACTAGAAAAACAGTAACTGGCAAGCCAATCAATTAAATATATTTGATCATAAAAAAAATATGTTTAGTAGGCCCTACAGCCAGGCCTACTAAAAGCTACATATTTCCCATGAATTTTCTCTACTATGTTTTACATTAGTAATAAAAACTACTCATATACTTATGTTATATATTATTTTATCTTCAAATTGAGATATAGACCAGCTGATCTTAAGACTGAGCCAGAACTTTCACGAAAAACCTTTATCTATCTCAATGCCGACTTTCCTACTAACTAAACTGGTATATCATTAAATAATATAACCCTTCTTAGGAAATATTATATTAGATTACTGCTAATTTATGTTTTATTTCTTTACAGATTTATCAACAATTGCTTAAACTTTTGTCCAGAAGTGATTAACCAGCTACTAAAGTGATTGGTCGACAAAGTTTGAAAACTTTCTCCCAGTGTTTTCTTCTCAAGGCAGCACCATGTCTGCTGATAGGGAGGAATCTTCTAACCAGAACTCAAACCAGCCACTCTTTCAGCCAAATGAGGAAGCTGTTTCTCAAATCATGAGCCTGGGATTCTCTCGGAATGCAGCCATTAGAGTAATCATAATATAGCTCTTCTACTTTTCAATCAATTATCAGAAGAGGCGAAAACTGCTGGGCTCACATGGGCACAGATTAAGTTGTAGCCCTTTGCTCCCCAGGGGCCACAAAGGAATGATGATGATCAGAGAAATCATAAAATAACTCTTTTATTAATTTTCAATAAACTATCAAAGTATTTATATAATAACTCTTCTATAACTTTTCAATTTACTATCAGAGTAAAAGTAAGTAAAGTTCCCTTTCAGACCTGACGGTCTACGGGGAAAGTGAAGTAGAGTTCACTTGTTTCTTTAACCTTGGCATATGAAGCGATAGTGTGGTCAGCACTATACCCAGCCACCTTTACTTACAAAACCCAAACTTGAGTTAGATACTCATTAGAGTATCAGAGTAATCATATTTTAAATTTTAACTTTTTTTTTCTTGAACAGTTCATGAAAAAAAAAGTTCTGAACTGAAACAGATGTTGTTTACATTCTATTTTATTTTACTCTTTCTTTTTGACAATTATATGTTGCTGTGTTTAAAAAATTATAAAATACACTAGTAAACTAAATATATATCAAACAATTAAAACATGCTTTCAAGCTATGTGTACGTCATAAAAGTTAAGGAGTATAATGTTATACAAGAAACTGAGAATCTGTTTTTTATGATATAGTTACTGGAACAACTGGAGAATGTGCTATTATTGTTGAACAACACTGAACAGTCTTTGAAAAGCAAACAGGAAAAATTAATATTGTTTAATAAAAACTCTATTATCTTCCATTGTTAGCTAAAAACATTTAATATAATATTGCTGCATTGCAACTAGAAAACAGTTAAATAATAACTAAAACATACCGGTAGAATAACAATTTAACATTTATTATTTGCATTTCTTACAGGCCCTCTTCTACACAGGGAACCTTACAGCAGACCAGGCAGCAGATTGGATACTAGAGAATACTGACAAAAATCTTGACACACCACTAGAGGTTAGACCCTAAAACTAACTTTAAATGATACTTGTTTTGCTTTTATGTTCTACACATTTTTCCTGTTGCCATAGTTTCTATTCATTTAAATTTAGCTCCACATTTTCTATTTATTGATTTTGTTTTATTTTCTATTCTTATTTATTACAGATAAACAAATGTGCATTATATTGATAACCCATATTAATTCTTACTTTAATTTTTGACAGAAAGTATTCTTTGATAGTAAATCATTTTTGCTAAGAACATGGTTCAAACATTTTGTTATAAATGAAAAAATTGATGTTTGTACATAAAGTCAGGTTTCAGCGAAATATTTCTATATTGATTACTTTTTAAAAATCTTTTGGAGATCTATTTTCTTTAATACAAGAAAAAACAACTTCTAAAATTATTTCTAGTTATTGTATAGATTTTAAAAAGGTTTTAAAAAAATAATTTGTTTCCAAAAGTAAAGTTGTTGTTTTTAAACTCAACAGGCAGATCTCCAAGGCACAAGTGATAGCAGTGACGAGGACGACTTCCTAACCTCTGATACATTCAAGATGGTGTTTGTTGTGAACAGTGAACTTAACATGGGCGTGGGTAAGGTGGCGGCTCAAGTGGCGCATGCAGCCCTCAATTTGTTCCGGAACATGATGGAAGACGAGCTCAAAGCAGAGATGTTGATGGCCTGGGGTCATCTAGGGTAATGTTAATGTTTAGAGATCATTTTATTAGTTGTGTCAGAAGTTGCTGAATTTTTAAAATTAAAAGTTCACTCACAGTCCGTTTATGTATAACCCACACATTACAAGTATAAATTAATCTTAATTAAATGTCTTACACACTAATGTTAATTTTAATAAATAGTTTTTTTCATTGAAGATCTATAATTACTTAGTTTTAAAGAAGAAAAGTAAAGAGAAGATATTATTGGGGGGAAAATATGCTTCTGTCAGGAGAACAATATGAATTATTTGTCTTTAGCTCTTGATCATAGAAAAATGAAAGTATGTCCATTTATCTTTTAAAATCTTCTATTGGATTTGTATTAAAATAAATACTTTCATTATTGTTAAGTTTTTAATGCTGCCACCTAAACTTTAAGACGCGGCCACTGAATGGCGTTCTGCAGTATTGAAAAATTGCTGTTTCCCGATTTTTTTTTTCAAACAAAAATTGTACAAATTTCAACAAAATCAACAAAACGGGAAAATAAATAAAAAAGTATATAGAACTTAAAATGGTCGCTCTAGCAAAATCATGACCTAGATTTCCAATTTAATACTTGCATTTGATAAAACACTGAATTAAAATATTATCGTACCCTAGGAACGTGGTTACAGTATGCCCAGCCAGTGCACCAAACCCTGGAAACTGTCATTACTGTCTTAAAGAGTTAACTTTTCCTGTCATACAAAAAAAATATTTTAAATATTGCTAAATTTGGAAATTCAGAAAATAAAAATCTAGTGGTCATTTTAGATTTATTTCTTAAAACATTCTACTTGTTTATCTCGAGAAATTTCCAAAACTCAGAAATCACTTTGTTTAATATTATCATTACATGGTACACATAGACAATACATGTTATTGCATAGGTATACTGAAATAGCTTTTCCAAGAACTATTCTATTTTAGTGAACATTTACCTTCAATGAAGAGGTGGAGACCTACAGACGGGTGGGGATAATAAGATGTGTTGCAGCTACCCATTCCAGTCAATTTGTGCTTATTTAATCTATCTTTTTGAGGGCTCAATATTGCATTATTTTCTGTTTGAATATACTGTCAAATCAGAGAAAGAATTTAAGTCCAGTCTGTTAAAAAATATATTTTTAGCATCTCTATATAGTTCTTGCAAAAGTGGGCAGTCTAAATTTTATTTATGTGTATGAAGATAATGTGGTTGGCAGGTGTTCCATGTTACACCAGCAAATGACATATCATATAGATATACTTTTAAAATTTTAAACACAGGGTGTTTAGTTAATTGTTGAAACACATTTTTAAAAAATGGTGGGTTTTTATTGACAGAGTAGTGTATAACATTTTTTAAATATTGATGTAAGGGAATATTCTACGACTGGGGCTCTAGAATTGTAATATTATAAATATTGTTATATTTTATATCAAATAATTGGTTTTTATTGTTATATTGTTTTAATAGCCCCCAAACCCCCTCTCCGCTACCACAGTGAAACATAAATAGTGCTGCCAGGGGAGAGCACTCTATAACATTAGGACCCTTTTTTACTCTAAAACATTTTAAGTCTGATTATTTTTTTTCCAACTGCAGGGAAACAAAAATAGTTCTGCGAGGGGAGAGCACTGTATAACTTTAAGCACTACCATTTGCGTAAAAAAGATAAATCTTTAAAGAAATAATGTGTTTTTATTTTCAGACTCTGTTTAACTATAAAACATTTTAAGTCTGATTCTTTTTTTTTCTGAATGCAGGGAAACAAAAATAGTTCTGCGAGGGGAGAGCACTCTACAGCTGGAGACTCTGGCAGCACAGGCCGCTGTCCTGCAGCTGGACCACTTCCTGGTCCAGGACGCTGGCCACACCCAGGTGGCCTCTGGCTCCAGGACGGTGCTCGGTCTGTTTGGTAAAGTAGAGGATGTCAACAGGGTGACAGGGAATCTCAAGCTGTTGTAAAAATGTTGTGTTTGTTTAGGTGCCACTCTGTTGTGGGGTACCATTAGCCACTGTCAGTGGTTTATGACCAATAAGTTTAATTATGGTGATTAAAGCTAAATTTAGAGGTAGCATTCTACACTGTCAGTAATGTTAGAGGGTTAGGTTTATGGTTAATAAGTTCAATAAAGGTAATTTAAGCTAACTTGAGAGTTACTGCTAGCCACTGTCAGTGATGTTATGTAGAGGGTTAGGTTTATGATCAATAATTTTAATTATGGTAATTTCAGCTAAATTTAGAGGTAGCATTAGCCAATGTAAGTGATGTTCGAGGGTTAGGTTTATGGATAATAAGTTTAATAAAGGTGATTTTAAGTTAAAGCATTTGGAGTAAGGCTAATTCTATTTTTCTACTGGATGTTTGTTCAGTCGTATTATTTTATGTAGTTAGATCATTAGAAATAATTATTTTTTAAGCTAAATGATTTGGTTATTGAAATTTTTCAGTGAAGGCATTTATAGGCTTATGGTTATTGATATGATTGAGTCTACTGGTACCCCATAATGGAAGAGTTCTTTTTAATTTCATCTGGTTGAATTTAGCCCTTGTCTTTTTATGGAGTCAGAGGAGACGCCACAGTAAAATTTTATTCAATGTTCTATAGTCATATATTTTTAGCTTGGTTAGTGAATTATGCCTGAAGTAATTTTTTTATAAGTGAGCAGGGAGAGTTCTGTCCCCTTTGTAATATATTTTTAAAAATTTGAATCATTTCATACAATGTTTAGGAAAAAATTGTCTCTTAAAAATACCTATTTATAGTTTCTCCATAAACTGTATTGTTATACTTTTTGTCAAGACATCCATTTGCATTTAACAATTATAAATATTTATATCTTGTCAGTAAGGTGAGTGGTGATGCAGATGTGTCTAATATCTCTTTTCGTCAGTTAAATTACTAAAACAATGTTTTCTTGGCATTTTTACTGCAGGTCTTAGAGTTTGAATCCCAGTTAGAATTATGTTCATCCATGTTATTACATTATTATGCTATTACAATATTATTTGTCCATCCCCCCCCCCCCCCCCCCCCCCCCCTTCCCAGTTATATTACTTCAGCTTATGGTGTGAATCTGGTCGTATTACTTTGGTTTCTAGGGTAAACCATGTTTATACTGTTTCCAAAGCAGATTAGTGGTAGACATTGTATTTTTCAATATAGAGTATTCTTTTGTGCACATCACTTAACACCTAAAGCTAATTCTGAAGTTTTCAGTCAGTCTTGAAACATTTAATTTTTAATCTGATTTCACTTGTGAAAGTTGTTTAAACTATGCAGTACATGATGCTGAGGAATTTTATAAAATTTAAATCTGTCATCTTTACGCTTGTATTAGTTTAAGTGATTTTAAAAGACAATGTAAATAAATTTAAACTAGACCTATTAAAAATTCTACAGAAAATGTGTGTATATGAATAAATTAAGAAATAAGAAATAAAACTTGCGCAAATCCTGAAATAGATAACCAAGACTTCTTCCTTGATTTTTTGTCTCTAATCTAAAACAGCTTAATGTACCGAGTGACTAATTTTGTTATGATAGTTCACAGTAGGAATAGTTTAAACTACAGTATTAATGGTACCATGTTTTATGTTAACTAACATTAAACCAGTGATCTATGCCAAATATTAAATCAGATGCGGTGTTGTAAAACAAATTGTTGGAAAAAAAAGGACAAGCCCTAGATTAGGTCTATGTTTAGTGTTAGTGTGAGTTTTGTTAGCATTACTGGATAAAATCAGTCCTGTGTTTCATTGTTTTTTACCATTTTACTTTCATTCTGCACTACATGCTGGTCAGTTAATCCATGTCATTTTATTCTACCAGATCTGAGAAAGCTAACTATTTTAGTAAATATTTTATTTTCTTAAAAATAAGTGACAAAACATTTGACTGTAGTTTCTGCTGATTGATTTACTTTTAACGATTAAAATAAAAATCTATATTTATATTCCCAAAGATTTTAAAGCATAATTAATTATGGACATAGTTCATTATTCTATTGCATTTAAGACTTATGGATAAGTTCATACATTGTCTGAGGAACATTTATGAGATAGTGGAGGTGGATAAAAATATCAAATATGAAGCCTGTATGAGTTTTAAAATTTTTAAAATGATTTCTGTTCCTTCTTCGACTGTCTAATTATTCCTGGTACTAAGCTTTATGTCCTGTCATATCATAGGGTATCTGATTTTATCAAGTCCTGCCCTAAAGTATCTGTGTTTCCATTATGTAATCCCTAGTGTTTCATTATGTCCTGCCCTACAGTATCTAATTATCATTAAGTTCTGTTCTATAGTATCTAAATTTCCAGGCCATCTAGGGTATCATTAGGTCCTGTTCTCTAGTCTCTAGTATCATTAAGTCCTGTCTAGGGTATCATTAGGTCCTGCCCTACAGATCAATCCTGTTCTACATTATCACAGTTTTATTAAGTCTTGCCCTACAGTATCTGATTTTCATTATGTCCTACCCTAGGGTTTCATTAATTTCTGCCCTACAATATCTCAGTTTTATTAAGTCCTGCCCTACTTTATCTGATTTTCATATTAAGTCCTGCACTGGAGTTTCATTTTGTCCTGCCCTACAGATTAGTCTTGTTCTACTTTATCACAGTTTCATTAAGTCCTGCCCTAGAGTATCTCAGTTTTATTAAGTCCTGCCCTAGAATATCTCAGTTTCATTAAGTCCTGCCCTAGAATATCTCAGTTTTATTAAGTCCTGCCCTAGAGTATCTCAGTTTTATTAAGTCCTGTTCTCTAGTATCTAGTCTCTAGTATCATTAAGTCCTGTCTAGGGTGTCATTAGGTCGAGCCCTACAATATCTAATTTTTAATAAGTCCTGCCCTAGAATTCCATTAAGTCTTGCCCTACAATATCCAAGTTCCCATTCCATCCTGTTGTTTCTGACAGTTTCTATTCCACCCTGTACTCTGAACTAACTGTGCTGAATCTGTCCTTTGTTGCAGTACCATTGAATACTCTGTCTTACACTTTGCTGGTGTAAATGTTGTTTTAACCGTATTATGTGAATACACAATGCAAATAATTGTACAGGAGAGAAGCAATGCCAGTGAAATGTGAATCATGTGTTGCGGTGGTAGAAAAAAATTATATTTATTAAACTTCACATTATTTTTTGACATAATTCTGTTTTGTTGTCTTCACCATCAATGTTTAAAAAAAAACAAATACAAAATTATTTTAAACACACTTTATTTTGTTTGAGATTTTTTTTTTATATGAATATTTAGTCTTAATCATTTTATATTTTTACAAACTTGTGTATCGTTTTCAGTATAAGGTGAGTTTATTTAATCATCAATGTGTTTTTGAAAAGACTACAATATTTTTCTAATGTTTTCTATAAAATTTGATAATTATATTTCATATTAAGTGGTTGTAAAAGCACTGGTGAAATTAATAGCTCTGGAAAAAATATCACACAGCCAAGCACGCCTTTCAAACTTAAAGATCCATAGGGCAGATGAAGTAGAGTTTCTTGACCCCAGCAGATGAAGGGATGGTGTGGTCAGCTCTATGCCCAGCCGCCTTAACTTTCCCTAACATGCGTTAGGTACCCATTAGAGCTGGGTGGACTCAGGGACGTTGTACTAACTTGAATCAGAGCTGGGTTGCCTCTAAGACGCCCTGAGGTGAGACCAAGATTCAAACTCGAGACCTTAGAGCTCGTAGACAGTCTGCCATTTGACCTTGCTCTTCCATGTTTAGATAAATGGTTACCAGTAAGATTAACAACAAATTATAAAAAGTGAATAATTCTGTTTTTCCTGTTAGTTTGATAACCTATTGTACTGAATATATATGCAGGGCACGTATACATATACACACATATATATGCACAAACATATATACATATATATATATATATATATACGTATTTGGCCTCTATATATATATATATATATATATATATACATATATATATATATATATATATATATATATATATATAGTCCATATACATATACTCTATACACACATATATATGCACAAACATATATATATATTATATATATATATATATATATATATATATATATATATATATATATATATATATATATATATATATATATAGGCCATATGTAGGCTACCTAAAGACCTAAAACATACACTACACCCTTGTATGTATGAGGTCTGTACCCAGTGGCGGAACTAGAAAAAAAGGGCCGCCCCGCAAAAAAAATTTTTGGGCCCCATATATATATATATATATATATATATATATATATATATATATATATATATATATATATATATATATATATATATATATATACAATACGAACGTAGAATACTCAACACCTGCTTGTTCGAAATTTGAAAAAAAAATAATTCTTAGTTTTTATTTTTAATGAAAGCATGTTACAACAACACATCATTTGCGTAAGTGCTATTAGTCAGCTTTGAAATTCTCTGTTTTAATGTCTGAAAAGCTACTCACTATTTTAAAAGTCGGTCAAAAGAATATGAAGCATGAAAGCTTTGTATGTGTAATGGGTTCTCGCCTTATGTTTATTTGTATATTTTTGTATTAATATTAATAGATTGAGTACATTTCCTTTTTATTCTATTTCGTTCTTTATTATGTATTTTTTCTTTAAATAATAATTAAGAGAAGTACTTGCTTTTTAATTTGTTTAGTGCAAATCTATTAAAAGTTTTTTTAAGAGCACACATATTTGACTATTTAAAAAAGGGAAATAAGTCATGGAAGTGGTTTGAACGTTTGCCTATCTTTCACACTACAACTGATGTAGCCTATATATTTTTTTTCCTTTACGAAACAGCGTGTGTTAGCTACTGTAGAACATCACTACTGTAGTAGATCTGTTTGTTTTTTCACACGAAAATTATTTTTTTAACTATAAAAATATTTATTATGGTCGTCTGTGGGCCCCTAAACGGCCTGGGCCCCCCCGCAATGCGGGGTCTGGCGGCACTGTAGTTCCGCCCCTGTCTGTACCCTAATTTTTCAAATGAAAACAGCAACGCTCTACTGAAGAACTGTGATCGAACAGGCATTAAAATGTAGATTAAACTTGTCAAACAAAAGATTAATCACGATCGATCCGACCCGGTTAAGGAATATCGATAACCATTGTGTGCATATATGTTCTTACCTCACCTATCGTCCTTGTTAATGGTAAATCAAAGGGAGGCTACTGTCGCGGTGGTGTTATGTTTCCGTTTTATTGTTTGTTGTGTGGTTATGACGACATACGACATCATTCTGAATAGGAAAGAGGGAGGGACTTGCTTGAGACAATATTCTAATTTGAGGAGTGCTTAAGAAATGTGACGTAGCATGCCGTGTTGATTGACAATAAAGAATGATAAACAATATGCTAATTTCCTTTTTAAAAATATATAAACCTAGCTATTGTTTGGGGATTAATGTTGTAGTCTAGGAAAGGTCTAGTGAATATATTTTTGTGAAATGGCTTAGCGATTGAAATATGCTTAAGCTAAAATTAGTTAAGACGACCTCTTCTCACTGGAAGGTGAGGGGCACTGGAAAATAATTTAGAACTAATTTTTCAGAGGGTGGGGTGGGGAAGCAAATCCAGAAAGAAAAGCAGACTGAAATCGGAGTAAAAGGTCCATAAAGCGCATGACAAGTTGACACTTATTACTTAATTGGCATTTGGAGGGGGCGGGACTTTGGACTGAATGACCCTTCTTTACGAAGACCCCTGCCTCTATTCAAACAATATAAATTCCTGCAAAACAAACAGGTTTTAAAATGTCTTTTTAAAGATTTTTTTTTTTTGAATACGTTTAATTAAATTCTTTTTTTTTAAGCGCTAACAATCTAATGGGAAAAAAACGAATAGTATCAAATGAATACAGACCAATTTATGAATACACCCCCGTCTCTCCCCCTTACCCCCCCCCCCCCCTCCCCCAAATTACTTACAACCAGTCAAGCAATCAGGA